TGTTGTTTCATTCTTTATTTCCTTCAGAGGCGAAGCGTGGCTCTGATGAGCACTCCAGATGTGCGCCGGCTCACGTCCTGCCTGGCCACCGTTTGCTGAGCCGCCTCAGAGAATGAGAGAAATGGATTCAGTGCAAGTGTCAGCTCCTCATTCCAAACACTTCGGAGAGTTTTCAAGGCATATTTAGAATGCATTCAGCTGGTAGAAGACCAAGTCTTTTGAATTGTCAGGTTAAGAGAAAGGAAATGACAATAATTCTCCTTTATTTACTTCTGGAATATTAGTGATAATTATCTTGGGGAAAAACTGGTGCAGATTTTTGGAGACACTGACCTAATTCTAGGTTATCTCAAGGGCTTACTGCATGGGTACAGAGACATCTGGTTTATTCTGGTCCCTAAATCTGTTGAAGACCAGGTGTCTCACAATGGGCAGTACAGCCTTCTCGCTCTGCTGAATGCCCTTCCTTTTGTTAGATAGTGAGTCTATTTTTGTGAGGATTTGGGCAGAAGACTACAGCTTAGAGCAGAGAAAGAAAAATGACTTACTTTGGTAAGTGTACAATTAGCTTGCCCCACATACCACTGGGTTGTTGACATTCACTGTAATGTGGAATGAAACACATAACACTTTGGAAAGAAGCTTGAGTCAGTAGCACCCAAGATCTTTTAGGCTCTTTCACCATAGGTACACTGTGTCTTGTGACAATAGAGAAGGACCTGTGTTAGTCCCCTGGGGTACCTCTTCCTAAAGTCTGCAAAGGTGCTCCGCTTGTTTGTTTCTAAAGGCATCCTTCATTTTCTATACCACAAAAAGCAAAAGAAGCAAGAAGTTCTTTGTTTTTTCTTTTCTTCTATGTTCTTGCTTGTCTGAATCCTGGAATTATTGTGTTGATGAAAGATTTTTGAAATATTACTTTACAGTTCGGCCATCCAGCATGTCTAAAATCAGCATTCTTTGCTCATGAGAAACATTGACTTGATTGAGTCACTCACATTTGTATTTAATTTATTTTAGCACGGAAATACCAGATGGGAGGACGACAATGCATGGCTTCCTAGCGTTATTGTGTCAATAGTATTTAGATACAGTACTTCTCTTTCTGGTTACACTGCTGCATTTTACTTTCTTAAACAATATTTCAGCCCAAGTGTTACTGTAATCTTCTGGACATCTTCCAAGGCATTCTCCTTTTCCAGTCTGGCCTGTGGTTGTTTTTCCACAATTCATTTTGAAAGGAAAAACTTAGTTTGAGACCATTCAGATGAGCATTTTGTAACACAGGGAGGCACACCAGCTTTGTATGGGATCACAGCAGGACCCCAAGGGGGTGTGGAATTTGCAGCTGGCCAGTAACAAGGTTTTGCAATTGAAGTCAGCCCTCCTGTTTACTGGTGTTGTCTTTCATATTTCAGAGTGATCACAGTGTCTTCTGCAGCTGTTCCGCTCACTGATCAAAGGAGCAGATCTCTGTTAGGGTGAATTCATTCACAAGTTTTGAGCAGCGGATGCTGTATTTTGGGGATTCCTTCTTGAGTGCACACATGCAAATCACGTAATTTTCAGAAAGCAGGAAACGACAGCACCCTGTACTGTAGGTCAGCGTGTTAATGAAATAAGCGGAGCAGAACTTCCTTTGGGTTTTTATTAGTGGTATGCAAACCATTTATTCATCAGAAAGGCCTTCCCAAGTATCCCAACATTGTTTCAGATACTGTATGGGTTTGTTTTTATTTCTCCTCCTCTGCCTTCACGGTTTTTTAAAGTATCAGGTACTTCCAGGCTGCCTCCTACCTGTTCTGGGATGAACCAGGTGCGTCTGCCGGCTGTCATTTCACCCGGGCCCGTGTGCGTCGCGGAAAATCGGACTTTTCACTCTTCCCAGTGCCAGCCTGCAGCTCTCCGGGCCGGAGCTCTGGCACGTTGCCCCGCTGGGCTTGCGGGTCCCTCTCCCCCGTTCGGTGAGCCCAGGCCGCGGCCGAGTCCCGGGCAGAACCGGGGGGCGCGGGGTTGCCGGTGTCCCGGTCTTTCGCAGGGCCTCTTGGCACGGCGGCGCGAGCGAAGCCCGCCGGCGCGGAGGGGGCTCGCTATTCCTCCGTCCCGGCCCGCCAGTCGGGCGATGACCGGAGAGGACGAGGCCTCCAGCTTTCGGCGGCGAGCTGTGATGGGAGGGGTGTGTGGGGGGGGGGATGACTCTTCCTCCCTGCCTCCGCCTGCGCCGGGGGGGAGAGAGGAGGAAGCTCGGACTTGTCCGTGCGGGTGGCCGGTGACGAGGAGCGAGCGCTGGCCAGCTGCGGGCCCTGGGGGGCCTTTGTCTGTCTGGGCTCTCTGGGCACCCTGCGGGGTTCGTGCTGGAGTGGAACAATCAGACTCTCTGGGAGCGCAGGCCTCTTCCTGGAAAGACAGATGCTTTCCCAACTCCTTAGACAAAATACAGACAAGCGTTGCGCTGCGTCTGAGCAGCGGTGGCTATAAAGACCCCCCAGCGCACGTGGCACTCAGGCCCCTCAGGGCCGCGGCGCCCTGAGTCAGCTGGAGTGGACTGAAGGCTGTGTGGCCCACGTTTACTCTCCAGGTAAGAGATATCAGGGCTGCTGGTGCAGAGGGACGCAGACCCACTTCTTAAACTCTAGAGCAAGTTCAGAACTAGAGGCCCTCTCAAAGACCTGCTCCGAGGGTGAGAGCTGCTGGAATTGAGCTACTCCCAGCTCACTCCATCGAGGTGCACGTGTATAACCGGCGCTTGATTGCACTGACCCTGCTGCCAACCAATTAAACCATTAAGAAACTGCCCGTGGTAACAGCCCTTCGCAGGAGGGTGCACAGTAATGGCATTCAGGTGTCTTCTGTGTTTGCAGCTGTGTTTGTTCAAGAGCAAACTGAAATCCGTGCTCTCAAATGAACAACCATCTGTAGTTATTGCAGGTCTTGTCATGTGGTATTCCATAGACAACGTTAGTCCAAAGTCACTTCTCTTGACTGACACAGATCTTAATGGCCAGAGCGAGGCAGGTTTTGAATCTAGTTTCCCCCCAAAAGACTGCATTTCTTAGGGGCCTGCACACTGTCACTACAGAGGCTGCTGTCTGCAAATGAGACATGAAGCCCAACGGGAGAAAAAGGAATTATTTTAGAAATTTTCAGTTTCATGTGTTAGAACAGAGAAATAGTTGATTGACAGGTTTAGATTCACTCTATCGAACTACAAGCAGTTATCTGTAGAAAACGTGCTTCAGCCGGTGTTGGCTCTCCGTGTTTCTGAGCATAAGTGCTGTTCCTGCAGGAGCTCCGCTTGGCTCCCTGACATCGGTGCGCTCTGAAGGAAGGGACGTGCGAGAACACGCTCTGACCAAAGCAAATTTTCCTGCTGTCTTCTGATGAAGGAGCGGAGTTCAGCACTGCGATCAGGGACGGGTTATTCTAAATAAAACTTGAATTTCTGTCACAGCGCGGCTGGACATTTCCAGATCTGTGATTTGGAATGACTGCGCGTAAATTTCAACCCCGTGATGATCAGTTTTATTGTCGTTGATTCTGTATGTATGAAGAGAGGAAAGATCATGTGTACTGTACTGAGGATGTGGTAAACTGTATTTTTGAAGAAGTGGGAACAAGTAAAGGTTAATTCCACACTTTCCCACCTGCTCTGTCCTCTGGTCAACCGTGATTTTATCCCTCCTGCTGTACCCACCACTGTGTTCCTCACACCTGAAGAAGGCATGGCAGCTACTTGACGTCTTTCTGCTTTCCAGCGTGGAATTAACCTTCCCGTGCAGCCAGTGCTCAGCTCCTGATGCAGCTCTCTGCTCGATCTGTTTGCGGAAACGACGGCTTCAGTTTCTCAGTAGCTTTTACAGATGCCTGTTGTGCCTCAGTCATCTCACTCGAGACAGGCTTGACCTGTTGTTTTGCTAGCCCTGAGGCTATTTTGTGTTATTTGTGGAACCCCTCGTTACTTTCACACCCCTAGGCTTCCTGCAAGATCTCCTAACGGCGCACAGCGGTGTGGAGGGAGAAGGAGGGTGCAGTACCGTCAGGCACGTGCTTCAGTTCCTCATCTGCTCTGCTCATGGCTGCGGTTAGCTGGTAATTACAGCATTACTGAGGCTGAGCGCTCTCACCTCTTGGGTCAGCTTGGCTTGTGGTTTCATATGGGGTTTAATGAAGGAGAAAGTATGTAGCCCTTCAATATCAGTATTGGAGAACACTGTCTGGACCTTAAACATGCCCTTAGGAGTTTCAGCCTTAATCACATCGTTTCGGGAGTGTTAAAAGCTGTGTTTTATGAGACTTACGTCACCTGAACATTATTAGCTGCAGTCAGATTTTAAAGCTGTGAACAAGTCAGAAGGAAACATTTATTTGTCATTCGGAAGACTGGGTAGATTCCTAAAGTATTCATAGATACTGGATGGAGAGCCGACCTGAAACGGTCTCTGAGGACAAATACTTTTATTGCAGTTTTGTTATGTGCGATTAGAGAGGGATTTTGATTTCTTTAACAGAACAGTACTGTAGGTAAACAAAGTTTCTGTCGTCTCACGGAACCCTTGCCTGCTTGGTCTGTCCCTTTGTGTTCCGTACAGCATGTAAACACCGTTGAGCGATGTTTGCGAAAAGGCAGTCGTATTCAAGGTACTAACATGCAGCAGTCTGTCTGATTATCGTACCAGGGCTGTGATCACAGCTCTCGACCACGCTGCAGTTAGCAACTGCTCTTGATCTAGTGTGAGCAGACCGGAAAATGCTGCAGTGTCATATTATGAGTGTGCAGTAGATACTGTATGAAGAACTAAGATCTTGGGGTGGAATGCTCATAGCTCATTTATTTCCAAGCCTTCTCTCTGCATTCCCGAGAGAAAAGTGGAAATATGTGGCTGGTATACACTATCACGACCCCAAAGACAGCAGGCTGGGAGACGCAAGCGATTCAGCCGAAGGTTTCGACAAGGTGAGCAGGTTTCCTTGAGTGACGAGTGCCCTCTGTCTGGTGCCCTCAGGTCCGCTGTCCAGGAGCCCCTGTGAGCTGCTGCCAGTCGGGGAGGGGCACCCGGTGCAGGCCCGGCTGAAGAGCTTCACCGTGCTGGCGGGCTGCGCCAGCCGCGGCTCCATGTCCTGGCCGCAGGAGGTGCACATCATCAACCTGAGGAGCTCCGGAGAGGACAGCACCGGGCAGCCGGTCGCACAGGTAACTCCGGCCACCCCCGGGACTGCGGCGCCCAAGAGTGTGTTCGTGTGTGTGTGTGTGCTGGGCCCAAGAGTGTGTTCATGTGTGTGTGTGTGTGTGCTGGGCCCAAGAGTGTGTTTATGTGAGTTTGCTGAGCTCGGGAGTGTGTGTTCATGTGTGTGTGTTGGGCTCTGAGGTGAGTGATCCAAGTTTGTGTGTGCTGAGCTCGGGAGTGTGTGTTCATGTGTGTGTGCTGAGCTAGGGAATGTGTACTGATTTCAGCAGTGAGTGTTCACACACAGTGTATTAATTTTCTTCACAAGAATGTCGTAGCCTGCCTTGGACTGCACTTCCTTCCTCTGTACAGTAAAATAGCCTTCTGGCATAGAGGTATTTGAGGAGGTAGTTTTACTTTTGTTGAAATAAAAAAATATTTTAATATATATATCAATCTAAAATGTTGGCCTTGAAGGTCTTTTCAGTGTGACTGTGCATGTCAGAGGTGTGGTGAAGGCCAGCATTATCATGGCATCTTCTGTGACTGCTTATAAAACTCAGAACTTCACATTTTGTAATGGAACCATTTTAGCCTAAATTAATCACAACAACAGGCTGTAATGAAGGCAAATAAACTGCTCCCACTACAGTTCTGAGCTTTCTGGTGTTAAAATGTTTTAATGACCACAAGGTATCTGTTTTTATGTGGACACTAGTGGTTCATACACAGAAATAAAACAGTAATAATGATGTCAAACTGTTTTTGGGGTGTGAAACCTTTCGTCGTGACAGACACGCTTGTCTGCTTTGAGAGCACTCTTGCTCGTGCGGCCGTGCTGTCAGGTGGCCATAGCACACATCCTTCTGTTCCTGTCTGCAACCCAGGACAGCCCGGCGAAGAGGCAGCGGTGTTGCTTTGTGAAAGAAAGTGTCGCTTGTGTCTTGTGAAGTGAGTTTTGTATCAGTATTTGAGTGTGGTTCTTTGCTGTTTTAAAAGAATAACTAAGATGATGAGCTTGCAGCAGGCATACCAAATTAATTAAATCAGTGATTACTGGAAGGCTTTTCTGTCTGTCAGCAGTGCTGACTTAAGCATTTCTCGAAGTCTGTATAATTTCTTGTTTACTTTTTTTATCTCCCAGATAGTCTTAAACGGGCCCCTCCTACAGCTGCTCGCAGCACTGTGAAGGCGTTGACTGTTCTGTGTGTGCGAGAATCACAATTCTCCTTCGGACAAGTTAGAAAACACACTCATGAAGAAACCCAGTAGCTTTTCATTTTGCCCAGTCAAAAGCAGGGATGACAAGCTTTGGTCCTGCAGAGCCAGTGAGTCTGCAGGTTTTCGTCTCAGCTCAGCTCTCAAAGATGTAAACCAGCTCATTAATGGCTCAATTGGATCAATTTAGCAGCTTCTCTCAGCTCGTGAGGTGCTGCTGCATTGAGCAGACCTTGAAAACCTGCAGACACACGGTCCCTCCAGGACCAGGACTGGACATCCTGCCCTAAAATAACAAGCCTTCCTGATATCCAGGCACTTCCGGAATTTCAGTTCCTTTTTGAATCAAGCCCTGCTCTGTAGTCATCTCCTCCCCCCCCACTGCCCCCGCTCCGGAGTGGACCCTTGTCCGGTATCAGCCGAGAAGATCAGAGGCAGCTCTTCGGGTGCCAGAGTCTCTAATGACACCAGACTGAGAAGTGAAAGTCAATATCGGCCGGGCTGAGGATGAATGGCTCTTCCAGTTCCAGGACTGGGTGTGTTTTTCTGCTCTGGCGAGCTAATGCTGCGATAAGGCAGTGTTGGATGGCTCTCGCTGGACGGGGTGGTCTTCAGGAGGTGAATTCCTTAAGCTCCAATGCGCAGGAGCCGCGCTGTTCCGCACTGTGGGACATTTCATCTGCTGTGCAGCGCCGTGCTCTCTGATGCCATATCTTGGCGTCAGTTGTCTGCCCTCCTTGCCCCCTATTGTAATCGTAGGCCCTGCAAATGGCTGGTGTTCCTTCCCTTGGAGCTGACAGGAAGCTGGAGAAAGGTTTCTTGGCTGCAGCGGGAGAGCAGAAGATTGTAAACATCCTTGGGAGATCAGATTGTTGTTCGAGGTTCCGAGATTTCAAACAAAGCAGAGAAAACGTTATCTCTGCTATCTCTGTACAAACACAGCCCCGGGTGTCCTTTTGGCCCTGGAAAAGAAAAAGGGAAATCATCTGATTTTAGTTGCAACCCGTTGTTGAATAGACAGAAGCCAGGCATCTGCAAACAAAGATAACAAACAACTATAAAACATGTTTTTTTTTCTTTTCAAGAAAAGTTGTAACATGCTTGTCAGCTTTGAATATTTGACACACCTTGTAATTTCGGTGATCTGTGCATGAGCATCGTTTCTTTCTGATGTAATCGCGGGTGCCAGAGCCTGTTTCTTTGGAATGGAGATCTGTGCACTGCAGTGCGGAAGAGCACATTTTGAAAGCTTGTGCTGGTTGGATCTCATCGACGACAAAGATGGAGACATGAAGCATGAAAGATTTGGGGTAAAGGATGGCCAAAACAATGACCTCAAATCAACCAACCTTCAGCAGGGCCCAACGCCTTGTATCTATATTGTGCTCTTTATCCCCAACGATCTCAGAGTGCTTTATCAATAGAAGGGCAGTCATCTGCCATTGAAGTGCTGTGCCCACCTGCATGACACTTTGCCATTTAGCACCAGTAGCCCAGCTGCACGGCAGCTCAGGGGAGGAGGGACAGATTGCTTGGAACCTGAGGGGGAGCTTTAGAGAGGTCAGAGTGGAATCTTGCCAGACTGTGGGGGTCACACTCCTACTCTTCTGAACAGTACCAAGGGATCTTTGATACCTAAGTGGTCAGGACGAGACAAATCAGATTGCAAATGCAAAGGATAAATTCTTATCTAAGAGAAAAACCTAATTGATTTTTTCCAGGGTGAGCCTGAGATTTGATGTATGCAGGGACGTCAATAGAGTTTTGAGTTTGGCACCTCTTCTTGAAGAGGTTAGGCCAGGTGCCTGAGCCAGCGCAGACCCTGCTAAGATCATAACATGTTTCAGCTCTGAGGCATAAATCAGTTTAGAGAACTGTCCAGATGTTTTTTTTCTTTTTTTTCTTCAACAGCAATGGTTTCAGTTTGGTATAAACGTAACTCTGGTAACCTTGGAAGTGCTTTTAATTTGCTTGCCTGGGTGACTTCAGTTACCCATATACTTGTGACCATTCTGTGCATCGTTCTGTGAATGCTCCAGTGAATATGACCAGTGAAATGTTTCAAATGGAGTAGAACAGACCAGCCCGGAAGAGACATGCCGTGTGTCAGCAGGAGAAACTGGATTTCTTCACTGGTTGGGTTTTTCTCCCCTCAGGCCAGGCGAGGAATATGAGGTTATTGTGCAAGATGCTCAGACTGGCCTCAGGTAGCACAGTGCACTTTAACGTCTCTGTGACTCGTATTGGTTGTGCACACTGGATGCGGCTGGACTGTGCATTAGTTTTGCACAGTGTGTTTTATTTTCACAGCTCCGCCGCCTGCCTTCAGATAGGAAAAAACACCACTGAGGTTCCACTCTCTGGAAATTTTGGGTTCAGTGTTGTCTGGGGTTTCTAGAGAGATAGTAACCATGGCCTTAATGTTTTGAGGAAAAAAAAGCCCACTGGCCTCCGCAGGCAGAGATAGGCAAGTGGGGAGTTTTGTGAAGTTAAATGTTTGGACCAGGCCACGGTCACAAACAGTCAGCCTCCAGGCATGTTTTGATGTCATGCAGGCCTCAGCTAGAAGTCCCCTTTCTTGGGCTGTGTGAGAGGAAACTCTAAGGTTTCCAATGGCAAGGAAGCTGTCTGCACCCTGGAGCAGTAAAACTGGATCTCTTGAGTCACGGACTCCTGACGGTGTGTCAGGCCGAACAACTGGAGCCCATGTTATCAAAGAGAGGAGTACAGACTCTGTGTACATTAAGCACTTAATTACATTTTTTTTTGTTATACTTTAAAGCTCACATGTGTCTTCACTTATTAGGGAACACTTCTGTCTCGAGAACCCAGAATGATACCGTGTTTTGTGCTATATCCACTAGATGGAAGCTTTACAGATTTCATACTGAACATTTCCATTTGTCCGAGGTGCAGTTCTGATCTGCTTTTAAAGAGGAGCTTCTGGCACAGTCACATTTAGATTATGACACCACTGCAAGCATGTCACTCTTTAAAGTAAGCCTCCACTTCTTCATCATTTTACTGTGTCAGACTTCCACCCCGTGTTTTTAACCAGGTGTGACGGCGAAGTAAATCAGATGCTTTTGCTGAAGATGTCAGTTTTGCTGCTGCTCCTTGGAAGTAGATTTGAGATGTTCCTTCACAGCTGCCCCCTTGCCTGTTCATTGGCTGCGAGTGGAATTTTGTGAAAGATCATGAAATGAGAATAAAACTGAATAAGAAATGCAGCCCAGATCCAAGCTCTGAGAGGGGCTGTAGGTGCAATACTTCATTGAAGCTGGTATTCTGGCCTGGAAATGAATCCAGTTTTGAAACATGGAGCTCTTGTAAAGCTCATCCCTGTACTTGAAAGACTTATTTCACCAGTAGATTAAAAGATGACACTGAGTAATCCATCATCACTCATAATGATAAATGCGTAGAAACTTTTTTTAAGTCTTCAATTACACAGTAGTTAAACCCCACCAAAGGGGATTGGAAACTATTAATTATATTTTCAGCATAAAAGTTGCCTGCTTATTCTTATGTCAGGTTTTCTGTGGGTAAATGACTGTGTAAATGATTAAATTCTGCTGGCTTGTGTTGGAAGCTGAAATCCTGTTGAATGCATGTATAATCTAGACTCTTTGGAGTACAAGTTAATCAGCAATCAAATGGCACATCAGAAATATTTGCTTGAGGCTGCCAAACATGTAAAAATAAGGCTTAAGGCTTCTGAATCATGTCTATCGACAATCAAGTCTTTACCTGTGTAAGTTCATAAACCTTACTATTATGTTTGATGAACAGCTATCACTATGTTTGC